CTAATGTCCGTCCCATGCACTGAACGCGCTCTCCTCCACATCACGAGTAGACATGCCCCTTATTGCTGATTGGCTACAAGTTTGTTTTGCGATTCGGCCCGAATCAGTTTTCTAAAGTGTTTTTGAAAAATCACTTACTCTGCCTTTAATTGCAAAAAAAACATGTATAATGAAAAGCCTAAATTTGTATGCAAATTTTTTGTTTTTGCATTATCACATTATTTTCATCAAAACAAGCGTTAAATCATTTCTGTTTTATGTTGAAATATATTTAATATTTTAAATATATATATTTAAGATAATATAGAAATTATTTATTATTTGATTGTCATGAAAATAATGTATATATTTATTCAATTATTCATTTAAATTATATTAATATATTCAATTCAAATCTAGGTCAAATCAAATACAAAATGAAATAATAAATTAGTTCTATATTATATTAAAATAAAACAAAAATTTTTGTTCAAACAATAAAAATGTAGAAATCAACAAATCTATGATGTATATGCTATCAGTGATGTACAGTATGTACTTTTTAAATATATGATGCATAAATACTTTAAAAGTAGTACTAATAGTCGTTATTTTTTGCATTACAGTTTGGAGAAAACTGCTTGATTGTCGTGAAAAAATTACAATTCTAAATGAATAATTGGAATTTGAATAATAATTTATTTTCATTTTGAGGTGAAATATGTCTCTGACAAGTTCTTAACAGGCTTTAGGAGATTCATCCAGACATTGTTGTCAACATTAATGAGTATTACTGTGCATTTTCTAAAAGCATCCCTCAAGATTTTGTGATCACATGCAGATTTTCATATGTATATTATTCTGCATTAGACATTTCCTACAGATTCTGGGCCATCTAGTCAGTCGCCTTGGTCGGCTTATGTGTGCACAGCCATATTTTCAAGTGCACTGAATTCTTCTGATCCTCATTGTGTGAAAAATCCATGAGGGGATTTAATTTGACAGCTGTTGGTTTGAATCTTCACACTGCAAATGAACCACACGACTTGATAAAGGGATTTTGTAAAATAATTCAGCAGTTGCTGTCTTGTGTTTGAGAGGAATCTTTAGTCATTTTAACAAACCCTGGACATGCCGTTTGTGATGCATTAATCACAGCGCCAGTCCATTCTAAAGGTTTCAGGATCGGATTTATACAACAGATTTGAGTTTTTCATGGTTTTCAGCAAACATTATTCCTGGATAATGAGCCTTGCATAATGATTTCTTACTGGAACACCTTCCAGCAGTGGTGGTCACTTAAAATTAGAGATACATAATACATAAAACATGTAAAATATAAATGTCTTTACCTTGAAATATATATGCGTGTATCTAACCTGAGGGCATACATTATGATTGTATTTCAGCCGATATCTGGGAACCTGTCAAATATGTGTATCACTGAATCTCACAAAACGTTTAATTTTTCATCTTAAAATCAAAAGGTAAAAGTTAGAAATTATTTATTTGTAAAGACAAATACACTTTTTTTTTTTTTTTTGCATTGTGTCATTATTTTCATGAAAGTTTAGCTACTATCCTCTAGCGTAAGGCACACAAAAAAAATCACATTTTCAGTAGCATAATGTGAAAAATAACTATTTTTAAATTTAATACTGTATTGCAATAACAAGAATAACTACTAAGAATAAAAAAAAAATTCACTTCAGTTAAATGTTACTAATTTTTCATGCCAATAATGCATATGAATAATGCATATAAATAATCATAGCATTATCACTTGAATTAAATTTCACTCCATTCTCACGAAAATAATGCATATAATGCATTTTGCAATGAATTTATAGCATATATGGTTAGTATTAATATCTCATTTTAATTAATGCTAATATTAATAATTAGTGCATTAATTGTAAAGTGACACAAGGGACCTAAAATGCTCAATTTCCTTTATTGCAAAATATTAACTGTTGTGTTTTGCTTTTTGTATCTGTATGTGTGTGTGTGTGTACATATACCCTGCCTCTGTTTCACTTGCTTTTCGCCTCTCTTTTTCTCTGAACTCTGCTGAATTGCTTACAGATAGGGCACATTCAGAATAAGCCGCCAATATAGAATGCATTTATTTCAGAAAGGGAGGCTCTTTTGGATGCATTCATTATGACTTTTAAGTTACAATAAGCAGCGTGCGTGTGTGTGTGTGAGTGATAATTTGCATGTTTGTGTGCACGCTGGCATTTTATTTCGCAGTTAGCACCGCACCGCACTGATGATTATGATTGACAGAAGAAGAAAATGAAAGTTTGTTTGTGGAAAAACAATCTCATGTGAACTGGAGTCTCACAGTACGCCTGAAGGAAATCAGTATTGAAGCTTCGCAAAGGTGGCTCCCAAGGCACACAGCTGAACGGAGAGGGGAAAAAAAACAAAGAGAAAGAATAAAAAGCTCATTTACTAATGCAAAAGATAATCTTGGCAGACAGCAGGTGCTCAGAAAAAAATAAATGAAATGGACTTGAGGTGAAAAAAAGAAGCATGCATTAATACACAGGGGTTCTGTTCGCAACGAATCAGCACTTAGAGTGGGCTGACGGAGTTTCTAATGGCAAATTTCCTTCAAGTCATTTATTAGTTAGAGAGTGGCAGGCAGGAAGAGATGTAGCCCAAAGAGCACTCTGAAGGCTTTTTCTACCTGTGAGTAAAAAAAAAAAATGCTGAAATCCCTCTTGTACTTTCAGTGCATCTCAAAAGTTTTTTATTTGAGTTTCTCTGTACCCACCGTGCTCTTCTATTCTGCACCATTGAATACATTTCTGTCAGATGTTAAGTTCTCTCTGTGCTCCGAAATGGGATGCAAAGATGTGACATTCATCTTCACAAGCTTTTCTGTGTGAACAGATGATTATATACCGGCTGCAAATTTAAGCCAGTAAGTGTGGAGGTCAGGATCACGGACGCGTCGGGGATTTTTCCAGAGGTTATGGGTGTTATACGGCATCGAAATCGGCTTGACTCAGCAGTCGGGTGTCAGAGAGGGCTTACGTTGTTTGCCTCGGGGAATTGACAGCTATTTTAGCCGATTTTGCTGTTCTGTCCACCTTGCTGTGCTCGGCGGTGTCACCGACTGTCGTCAAAGATGCCGGTCATTTGAATCGCTCACACTTCTGTGTCAGTCATGAGAATCAGGGTTTCAGCAGGTCTTAAACAGGCTTAATACACCCTTCTACCTTAAAAAGGTCTGAATGTTGCACTTTACAGATCTTCTTTATGCACCAAGAGCTTGTAACACTCCAAAGAGAAAGGAAAAATTGAAATCGCATCATATGACCCCTTTAAAACAAGAACAAATATATGACAGTGGGGTATGAAAATAGTTTTCTGTTTAAATTAAATGTATTTTTCTGACCTCATATGTCATATATCATGTTTAATCATAAACTGGCTTCATTTTGACACATTTCACAGAAAATAAGACTTCTGTTGTCATTTTGTTTCTCTGTGTATCTTGATTTAAGAATCTTTGTGCTGGAAAACAAGACAAAAATACTGAGGCTGAAACTCATTTTTCGCAGTGTTTTCAGAAGGTGCAGTAAAGTTATTTCCACATTCTAGTTAGGATATTTGTATTTATTTAGTAACATGAAATCAAAAATAAATATGAAAAATATCTTTCATTTATTTGAAACTGTTAATTCTGATGGCATCGCCGTGTCTGATCTCTTTTTCAAAATATACATGAGCCCTTTGACTAAATGTTCTGATTGGGCCACATGCAATGCTTTTTAATGAGTTTGAAAGGCAGCATCAAACGACATTTGCAACCTGTTTTAATTTCGTAATGTAACATTTTAGTAACACTTTACAATACAGATCCACTTGTTAAAATCATTAGCTGACAATGAAAAATACTTACTGTTGTCTTATTGATTTAAACATTTACTAAATACAATACTAAAAGTCAAAAATTTTATCTGTTAACATTATTTAACCCTTGAATGGTGTTCTGGTCTGTGGACTATTTCGGGACTATTGATTATTTTTTCAAACTCAGACTCATTGGCCTTGGCTCATTTTCTGTGAAGAACATATATCAGAACAAATTTTCAATGACCACTCACTGTACACCCCACCTACACATTTATATTACATACAGGATGTTCGGGTCCACTGGACCCAGGGCTAATAAAAGAGTGGAAATTTTAGGTCCTGTGTACCTTCACTCTGTCCTCCTATTGTCTGGACCTGCTGTTAGTATGTGTATGTGTGTGTGTTAGAGAGAGAGTCTGTAAGAGTGTGAGTGTAAGTGTGAGTTTTGTGTTTCCACCCCTGCCGTTCCCGCGCAATGTTGAAGCACTTTAATTCATGAATGTGATCTAACAAAGGTAAAGGGCACATTTTGACCATATATGCTGTTTATATTGCTTGTAATTGGGATGAAGTAAACATCGGTGGAGTGTTTTAACATATAAGTTTTGATTGTGTTGAATTAAAAACCCAAAACTGCAGCAGGTCCACCAGACCTATGAACACTGGCTGAGTAACAAAAATATGAACACCACACAAGGGTTAATTGACCTGAGCTAACATAAAAAACAACTGTACATTGTTAGTTTATTAACTAATGTTAAAAATAAATTAATACTGTAACAAATTATTTGATCATTGTTAGTTAGTTAATGCTATTTGCTATTTTTCTGGTAACCTTTATTTGATTAATGTGAACTGGCATTAAATTACTCTGTATCTGAAAGTTTTTAGAAGTTTTTAGTATTGGAATCTTCTTTTGTGTTCGGCAGGAGTCATACAGGTTTTGAATGACATGAGGGTGAATAAATGAATAATTCCATCGAATCCAGTGAATTTAACTTATGCACAAAATTGGAATATCCCATAAAACATTTGCGAATACAGTACCGTTTCCATCCAGCAAGACGAAGAGAACAAAATCACAACTTCCTGATAAACTGGAAAAGTTATTTGCTGTAGTAGGAGAAGCCTATGCAAAACACTGTAAATGCGGTCATGTTACCATGCTTTCGGAGGCAGATGCCTGCTGTTTGAGAAAACAGTACTGTAAAGCCTCGTACACACCGGGACGATTTTCGCGCGCGCTTATCTCCGACGTTTTTCAACGCGTCTTTTGTGTTCATACCCAAGCGATTTTCGCAGGCGATGAGCCGAGTGAATGTGTAAATTCACTCCCTGACATTAGATGGCGCTTAATAAAAAACAGAAATACCCTGACATTAGATGGTGTATGATTTTAGATGACACATCGAATCCTATTTGATCTGCAATTGCTCTCCATAACAACTCCCTCTTATCGAGATTTTTGTAGTCGCTGTCGCGTTTGTCATAAAGCCCTTTGTGTTCAGACACTAATGAGACCAGCAGCTCTACATTCATCTTGCCTTGATGCATCTTCTTGGTCTACTTCCTCTTTGTCGTTAGGTATCAATGTGTGCTCGGCAAGACCGTTTTGTGCTTGAGCGCCACCAAGTCGTGTTTTACTTTAACTTCAGCAGCTCCAGGCACGTGAACAAAAGCGCCAATCGCATTGGTCGGCCAGTTTTTAATGCGGCGCGTCAAACCAAAAAACGAGCCCGAGGCTTGTTTTGCGCGTCGGTGTGCACACTCACATTGGCGCCCTTTGTTTAGTCACGAGGCGTTAAACGTCGGCGATAATCGCGCACAATATTCGTCCTGGTGTGAACAAGCCTTAAGACAGTTCTGGGAGGTAATTTTGATGATAGGCTTTGGCTCATGTATTTCAGAATGACCAAAACAACATTTCAGATGCTGTTCAATGAGATCAGTCTGCAGGTTAGTCCTGTTATGCCATCCCATCGCACAAAGTCACATGAAGTTTTTGATTCGCATTACAGAATTTATTCGGTAAATGTGTTTCCATCGTAGTTGATGTACATGTATTCTTATCGGATAAAAAAACGAATACACAAGTTTTTGGAATTTTTCGAATTTAAGCATCTTGGCGTCTCCATCCAGCATTGTTTAATGCAGTATTCCAAAATGTCCATAAAAAACGGGGAATGGAAACACAGCTATTTACTCATCCTCATGTCATTCCAAACCTGCATGGCTTCCTTTCTTCTGTGGAAAAAGAAGATGAGAATTGAAAGATGTCCATATAATAAAAGTCAGTGGGGTCCAATTTTGTTGTTGTTTGGACCCTGTCGTTCTTCAAAATGCCTCCTTTTTTGTTCCACAGAAGAAAGGAACGCAGACAGTTTCGGAATGACCTGAGGATGAGTAATGATCATTTCTGTCTGAACTACCCTGTAAGATCAATGCTATTTGTTTCTGAAAATGTTATACTGTAACTCAGTTTGGACCCCGCGAAAGGTCCTCCATTTTTAAGAGTTCCCAAACAAGTAGCCAGGGTTCTGTTTCCACCACCGCCAATAAATCCATGGGATTGTCTGACATGGTTGACTTTTTAAACCTGTAACATTAAGGCGGATTTACCCACCATCTGACAAGCTGGAAAATTGCTCTGGCTTAGAGTGGGGAATACCGAAGAGCTCTCTAGGTGTGTTGTGCTTTGTCTCAGAGCTGTCTGAGGAATGCTAACTCCTTGTGGCATTGTGAGCTTTTAGTAAACAGTGAGCGTGCAATGCACTAAGTAATGCAAGAAGATCACTCATTTGGAGTGTTGGAAAGAAGCTTAGCTGAAGTTTCTGCCCACTGGGACTTGATTAGCATAGCTAGCTTTGGTCAAATTAGTGTTTAAGGGTGTGAATCACCAGGTAGAAATGAAGCAGAGGGCTCGAAGGTAATGTATTGAGGCTGTGTAAGTGAAGGAGTGAAGGTTGCGATGGAAACAGACGGGCATATGGTCTGACGGTTTGTCTCGTAGACATCAAATCAAGCTTTTCCTTTGGTTGCTGTCTTCGCTGTTGCTCTTTACTCAGGGGTTCAGCTTGTTATACAGTTTGGAAAATAACTAATACTGTAAACAGCTTCAGCATTTAATGCTAGCAGCTCACAATATCTTTCAGCCTAACCTGTTTATCTTGGCTAAATCACAAGGGCTTTTCCCCAAGAGTAGCGTAAACTTGTTTCTTGTGGTATTAATAGGAATGTAAATCAGACAGTCTAAATGATTATGGTGTATCTAATTTGGTGAAGTTAATTGGAAGTAATCCAGTGTGGTTCTGGGAATATTACACATTCAGTCTGTATCACTGAGTTTAGTGTTCACAAATGCAACTTGTCAGACTAAATCTATTGTTTTATTTCTAGACAGCTGCCAAATATTATGCATTTGGTATTAATGCACTGTCTATACATCAATATGATATCCTGTGAAACCATTTCAGCATGAAATCAATGGTAATTTTTTTTTTTTTTGGAAACCTTTTTTTTATTTTTTAGAATTCATTTATTTATTCGTTTCTTTATTTTAAATGATTTTATATTGTGACCTTTGAAGTGCTTGGAGCATTTATGTATGTATTGATTTATTTATTTATTTTACATTGTGACCTATGAAGCACTCAGAGCATTTGTTTGTTTGTTTGCTTGTTTTCTGTGACCTGCGAACACTTTTTTTTGTTTGAAATAATAATAATAATATCATTAAATATTATTATTATTTTGTTGTTGTTGTTGTTGTTGTTATTTATCGTTATTGTTATTATTTCCTTATTTTCTATATTTTTCTATTATTTACTGTATGAAACCACATTCACAGGCTATTTTGATTGTACTGATTTTTTTAATGGGAAATAATTTTTTACACATTCATTCATTCATTCATTCATTCATTCATTCATTCATTCATTCATTCATTCATTCCTTCCTTCCTTCCTTTATTCATTCATTCAATTATTTTAAATGCTGTCCTGTGAAGAATTAGGAGCGTTTTATTTGTTTATTCATTCATTCATTCACGCTTTCTTCTCTAAAATGTTCTTATATTATGACCTGTGAGACACCTGAGGCCACTTTATTTATTTGTTAAACTTTTTTAATTTTTTTACAGGTTTGTTTGTTCATTCATTAATTTATCATTTATTTATTCAATAATTAAATTATTTTATATGCTGTCCTGTGAAGAAGTATGAGCATTTTATTTATTTATTTGTTTATTCATTCATTCGTTTGTTTATTCATTCATTCATTCACGCTTTCTTCTCTAAAATGTTCTTATATTATGACCTGTGAGACACCTGAGGCCACTTTATTTATTTGTTAAACTTTTTAAATTTTTTTACAGGTTTGTTTGTTCATTCATTAATTTATCATTTATTTATTCAATAATTAAAGTATTTTATATGTTGTCCTGTGAAGAACTATGAGCATTTTATTTATTTATTTATTCATTCATTCATGCTTTCTATCACCGTAGCCTTTTTTTCATTTACCAGCATTAATTTACTGCATTAATTAGCTGTTAGTTGATAGCCGAACATTGTTTCAGAGGCCGAACAAGTCATTATATTTTGATAAATGATCACAAAGACAGCATGCACAAGAACACCAGGAACTTGCATTAAGGAAGTAAATAGGGTCAATTTTGATTTCATGTTGACTTGAAGTTGTGCCAATAGATCATCCACTGTAGTTCACTGGCATTGTTTTCTGTAATATTAACCTCAGTCATACACCATACCGTTCCAGAGTTTTGATTTATCACGTTTACTTGTCTTGCACTCTTGTCGTAAGTGCCTTGTTGACGGATGGTAGTCGTTGGTTGTACCTTGTACTTGTTACTTCAGCAAGAACCCCTTAACCCAACAACTACCAGTCCTCAGGTTTAACTTTCCTTCCAGCTTCAAATAATAAATAAAAGCACTTCCTGTGTCGGCTCTGATACACACTTGACAAGCTTGGTCTGTGTCAACAGGACCGCTGAGAAATCCGGCCGACGGCTGTTAAGTGAGAGGCAGGAAAAAGTTTGTATTTTATATGCTGTCCTGTGAAGAAGTATGAGCATTTTATTTATTTATTTGTTTATTCATTCATTCGTTTGTTTATTCATTCATTCATTCACGCTTTCTTCTCTAAAATGTTCTTATATTATGACCTGTGAGACACCTGAGGCCACTTTATTTATTTATTTTTAAATGGTAAATCATTTTAAAGGTTTGTTTGTTAATTCATTTATCATTTATTTATTAAATAATTAAAGTATTTTATATGTTGTCCTGTGAAGAACTATGAGCATTTTATTTATTTATTTATTCATTCATTCATGCTTTCTATCACCGTAGCCTTTTTTTCATTTACCAGCATTAATTTACTGCATTAACTAGCTGTTAGTTGATAGCCGAACATTGTTTCAGAGGCCGAACAAGTCATTATATTTTGATAAATGATCACAAAGACAGCATGCACAAGAACACCAGGAACTTGCATTAAGGAAGTAAATAGGGTCAATTTTGATTTCATGTTGACTTGAAGTTGTGCCAATAGATCATCCACTGTAGTTCACTGGCATTGTTTTCTGTAATATTAACCTCAGTCATACACCATACCGTTCCAGAGTTTTGATTTATCACGTTTACTTGTCTTGCACTCTTGTCGTAAGTGCCTTGTTGACGGATGGTAGTCGTTGGTTGTACCTTGTACTTGTTACTTCAGCAAGAACCCCTTAACCCAACAACTACCAGTCCTCAGGTTTAACTTTCCTTCCAGCTTCAAATAATAAATAAAAGCACTTCCTGTGTCGGCTCTGATACACACTTGACAAGCTTGGTCTGTGTCAACAGGACCGCTGAGAAATCCGGCCGACGGCTGTTAAGTGAGAGGCAGGAAAAAGTTTGCGCTTCGATTAGTTGGAGATGACATGTTCTGGCCTCTGTGTTTGTCTTGCAGCTGATTATCCAGAAGATCCACATGTGCCAGCAGCTGTGGGCTTGTGACTCATTTGTCAGCGTGCTGGAGTACCTTCTGGCCGTGGGCAATTACCTCAACCAGAACGCAGGCAAGGACAGGGCCAAGGGATTTCGCCTCTCGTCCTTAACTAAGGTAGGACCCGCAACCGCCAGCAAATGACCTTTGGGGGATGGAGAGGAGAGCCAGGGCTAATAAAACTTCTTATTGGCATACAGGACAAACATCTGTTAGTTAATAGTGAGAATTAAAATAAAGTGTGACATATTTTATGTATGAAATGTATGAACTTTGCATGTTTAGTCTTAAATATATATTAACATTTAAACTTTTTGTCACTGTTTAAAGCAAATGTCACAACATTTGAGATTAATATGCATTCTAAACAATTTATAACATGGTTTTCTGGAATACTTGATTCAGATTGGTGAATTGTAGCATTTTAGGCTCAAATATGTTTCAGGGTTCCCACGCTTCTTGAACGTACTTGAATTTCAGACATGTGGATTCAAGGCCTGGAAAGTACTTGAAAACAAACATAGGTCCTTGAAAGTGCTTGAATTAAATTTGAAATAAATTTTGTTTATGGCGCTATTTAAAAATTTGTCCTATATGTTCTGTCAAAGACAGAACAAGCGGCACTAATGATTGGGGGTGGAGATGGGGGAGCGCGAAAAAAAAACGTGTGTGTTGATGCGCAGCCTAGCATACAGGACAAACATCTGCTGGTTTTATTTCTCTCTTTCTTTTTTCACCAGCTTTCATTTCTCCTCAGGTTGTTTTATCCGGTCAGCTTTGGTAGCAGCATTAGGGGAAACTCATAATACGGAATTACATTTTTCAAAATAATGTAGGTTTTCTAGTATTCAGCAAGTAGCAGTGTCTGTTTTTGGTCATGTTGTGTCATATGCATAGCTTTGCACACAAACAAACTTTCACATCTCTTGAAATACCGTCTCTCACATATGCTACCATTCAAAAACCAGTTTTTTCTTAAAGAAATTAATACATTTATTCAGAAAGGATGCATTAAATTGATCAAAAGTGATAGTGAAAACATTCGTAAAGTTTTATTTATTTATTTATAAAATGGTTTTATATTCAGACATGCATTTTATTTATTTATAATGTTACAAAATATTTCTATCTTAAATAAATGCTGTTCTTTTGAACGTTCTATTCGTCAAAGAATCCTGAAAAAAGTAAATGACAAAAATAAATGTTTCTTGAGCAGCAAATCAGCATATTAGAAAGATTTCTGACACTGAAGACTGGAGTAATGATGCTGAAAATCCAGCTTTACATCACAGGTATAAATTACATTTTAAAATATATTCAAATAGAAAACTGTTATTTTAAATTGTAATAATATTTCACAATATTACTGTTTTTATTGTATTTTTGATCAAATAAATGCAGCCTTGGTGAGCATAAGAGACATATAAAAACATCATAAAATCTTACAGGTACTACTGTTAAATAGTGACCAATATTGTGACTCACAAATATTCACATAAGACTGGAGGATGCTGAAAATCCAGCTTTACATCACAGGAATAAATTACATTTTAAAATATATTCAAATAGAAAACTGTTATTTTAAATTGTAATAATATTTCACAATATTACTGTTTTTATTGTATTTTTGATCAAATAAATGCAGCCTTGGTGAGCATAAGAGACATATAAAAACATCATAAAATCTTACAGGTACTACTGTTAAATAGTGACCAATATTGTGACTCACAAATATTCACATATAAATAAATATATAAATCCTTTAAGATTGTAGAGAGACTGACTCAATTACATTATGCAGTGCTCCATAGGAGTAGGCGGTTGCTGCTCAGATTTTTTATTGCATTTCCAGCTGTTTCCATAAGTTGAAAGAAGTACATATCGTTGCTTAACAACTGCAAGGATCATAGTCATTCTGTCTTAAAACATAATTGTTAAAAATTAGTTATGGAGAATAGGATGAATGGAGCACTGTTGTTGAACTCTATCATGGCATTTATACTGTATTGTGACATGTATCGTATCGTGACGTACTTGCCACTGTGCCCTATGGTTTAGTCGCGTTTATACGACTGCATCCACTACACACATCAGACGTGCCACACAGTGATACCTGTGAGTTTCTCTTTGTTGTTGCTTTGTGCAAACTCTTGCCGCAGCGGCCCAATTCGTTAGCCACGCGGCATGGCTTTTTTCAGAGCTCACTGAGTCATTAGTGACACGCCGGTAATTTGTATCGATTTTTGCGGCCAGGGTGCTTGAAACCCAGTTCCTAAGTGGCAAGATTTAAGGGCACTTGCACAATAAGCTGAACGACTTCCTCCTTTGCTAATGAGGAATCTGAGTGCACCACCCCTGTGCTTCCTCCATAGAAACACAACAAAGAAAATAACCACATGCTTATTTTAGAGTGATGAAGTAAACCTCTGATGATTAATGAAACACCCTGTCCTGGCATGTTCATCATGACATTTAAAAAAAATTCCATTTCATCATTTAGTGTATCATATTTTGGTAACACTTTATTTTAAGGACCAATTCTCATTGTTAACTAGCATATTGGCTGTTTATTATTACTTATAAAGTACATATTAATGCCTTATTCTGAAAGACCATATTTTAGATCCCTTAACCCTACCCCATATCTAAACTTAACAACTACCTCACTAATTATTAATAAGCAGCAAATGAGGAGTTTACTGAGGCAAATGTCATAGTTCATAGTAGGGCTGCACGATAAATCGCATGCGATATTTAACGCGCATCTTGTCAGAAAGCTGGTTCTGTAATCAGCGGTAAATCTCCATCACGTGCGTGCTTTCACATTGAGCAGCATTAACTACACAGAGCCGTTGTTCACTGACGAGCAGCGCAAAAAATCGCGCGAATATGAACGTGGTTTTGCGAAACGTGTGTGTTGATGCGCAGCCTAGAGCCCTGAGCGGTACAGTTTTCTTAAGCCCGCTCCAGCTGAATTTCTGACCATTACCGCCCACTCCCGCAACATGTGTGTCACGCTCCCGCAAACATTCTTATTGTCTTATTGTATATATTTATAACAGCTGAGCCGCTGCGCACCTCTAAAAGCAAACACAGTCGAGTTTCCTTCATTCAATGAAAGTGCGTTTTTGAACGAATCTAGTGAGTCAGTGATTCATGATTACCCATTCATAAAGATTTAATTCCTGAATGAATCAGCTGTTCAAACGAATCAATTGAATGAATGATTCAGTGATACAAATCAGTGACTTACCGCCACCTGCTGATGTATATAGTTTCATTTTTAGCGTATAATTTCAGTTATTTAAATCATTTAATATTTCTGTATTCAAAATTTTATATTTAAAACATTAATCTCCACATGAATGTATGAATTTAATTGCACTCATGCCACCTCTGAGCCTCATTAAACGTCTGGAAATGTACCTACAAGCCACTTTTGTGTTCTTCTGTGCCACATCTGTAGTACAAATAAATTTTTTATTAATACTAATTTCATATGATTGCTAAC